GGGAGCGGGGCGGCCGGCGCCGCGGCGGGCCCCGGGCACTGCGCTGGGCGGCGGAGCTCCCGTTGGCGCGGGGCGTGCAGGCCTCGCCGCCGCTCCGCACCGGCTGCAGCGCCGGCGGGGAGCCAGGCCCCGGCCGGGCCCCCCTTCCCGCCCCGGCGAGGCCGGGGGCTCCGCAGGGGTGTCGGGGGGCGCGGGTGAAGCTGGCGGCTTCCCCCGGAGCAGGAGGTGTCGGGCAGGGGCCGGCCGAGCCCTGCGCTCACCCGGGGGGAGACAGGAGCCCTGGGGCCACCCGCCAGGGCTGCCCTTGTCCTTAGCTTTGCTGCCGCCTCGGCTCCTCGGTGGGGTTGGGGTACCCTCCTTTAATAACCTTTTTTCTTTTTTTTAAATAATGTGTGATATATCCGTGTTATTTCCTTAGAAGCTTTAGTTCCAAGCTCTGACAGAAGAAAAAAAAAATGCTGTTTGCAATTAGCACCTGAGGAATTAGCAATTTACCCAGGAAAAAATTTAGACCGTGATGTGACTGTTTTGATGCAATGCAACTCTTTATGAAATCATTAAAAGCAAGTTGCTTCTAATGAATAAAATGCCATAGGAGAAAAGGAGTAAACTCAATAGTTGTTGCATTTGGAAGCACCAAAGGATGCTTCCTATGCTAGCTGGATATAATTCTGTTACTCTTATCTTATATGATCACTCAATATCTTTATTTGTTTTTTTATGTTGCTTTTCTCAGTCTTGTGTAGGGTTTTTAGGTTTTTTTAGAAGAACTTCATTTGATTGAGGCTCGATATTCTTTACTTATTTATTTTAGCCAAAACTATATTTYCTGTTGCTGCAATTTCACTAAATAAACCCCAGACGCTTCATTTTCTGGAAGACTTGCTTGGTAATGAATGATTTAATAATTATTACTACTGGAGAATTAACTTAAAAGTCTTGCCAAACTTCAAATACTTTCTGTGCATTTTTTATTATGAACTCCTCAGTATGGCTGGATATATTGGTTACAGAGTAAAAGGGCYTGGTTTAGTTTTTGACTTTTTAAAGTGATATGGGAGTGCTTGTCTGATATATGTGATCACCCTAGCCCTCTGAGCAGTGTGTGCCAGTATTCCAAGTGCCATTAGCCTTCCACTTYACTGCTGTGTATGAATTCACAGTGTTTTATGACAGATTTCCTGAATGAAATACGTTAAAACTAGTAAGAATAGTGTTTATCCATTTGTTCTAATGTAAGTTTCCATTTTTTTTTATTAATGCTGAAATCTGTATCCCAGTTTAAGATACTGGGTTTATTTTTGCATGTGATACCATCAAATGAATACAAAGCACAGCAGAATGTATACAGGGTGAGAATCAGAATTTTGTAGAGAAACCATCAGAATGATATTTTTCAGTATTTAAATCTCTCTGTCTACAAACTGAAATAAGTCAGTGCAGCTCCAAGCTTAAAAGAGTTGCATCATTTTCACCAAATATTAACATATGTTTTTCTTCTTTCTGTGTCAAGTACTTTMTTTTTCACAGTAAAAACCATCCTGAAACTTATTGTTGATGGCAAATTTCAGCTGCTAACAGTAGTTACTTCTGATGGAACTTAGCACTATCTCAAACCTTTCCAAAATATAAAAATACTGCTCATAATAATTAGGAACCTGTTAATTTTCTGTTTCAGTATGTAATTCTAGTGCAAAACATCAAAGAATGCTTAAATGATATCTTTAAATAAACCAGACATGTAGATCTAATTTGGATTTATACCAGATGGTAGAAAGAATTAGAATTTAAGGATATTCCAGCTAAACTAGTTTTTGCATTTTTGAACTGACGGACCATGCGTAAATATTGTTTTTAATATGCGTAGGTCTGTGATCACAGTGCTCAGCAAAACTGTTTTGGAAAATAGCTAAACCTTCTCCTAAATTAAGGCCTGATTTTTTTTTTTTTTTTTTTTTTTATGTTGATGTAAATCTAACTAAATTAAGAGGAGACTCTGAGAGGATTCATGTTATTCAGGTTCAGTTTAAAGGCTCCATTCAAAGGTTTGAAGCAAAAGACTGAGTTCAGGGCAAAATACTCAGACAAGTAAAGAGCTAGAAACAAATGAGCACACTTCAGTCTTGGTGAATGAGTATTTTGGAAGGAGTAGGAGATAGAAATTGCAGAAATAGTCAGGGAAAGGATGGCGGAATTTAGAATAGTGAGCCTTGATTGAGATATTTTCATATTGAGAATTTTAATTTCATTACATTTTATCAGAAGGGGCTGTGTCTACTCCTCTTTAAATGTGGATTTGCACATTATGTCGAGCCAACTAGTCAGSTATATCTCTACCTGTATGCAAAAGTTTCACTCTTGAAATGACAGGTGAGCTGAAAGTCTGAACTCCCTTCTCAGCTTCATCGTCCTTTTTAATAATCAGAGTGGTTATTACAGTTTTTGTGGCAAACAAGTGGTGATTACRCTTTTTCAGGTCATATTTTACTGTTTTTGCCTAGTTTTTCATTGAATTAGGAGGCAAGTGATTTGCATTTGAAAGGCCTCGGTTGCTCATACAGAAGTAAGCTCTGTCTGCTGGAGATCCTAATATCAGCAATGAATTTCATTTATATTTARTGGGGTGGATAGACTCGGAAGTTTAGAATAATGTACAGTGACAGCTTTGATTATAACCTGATTTATTCCTCTTTATGCTTCARTAAACAGAATAATGTTAACTAGCCTTTATGAAAAACAGTTTTAATTTCTATATTGGAGTTGTTGGATGTGTCGTATGATTCCAGTRCAGTTTTCTTACTAGTTTCAGCTTGAGGATAGAGAAGGAGAAAGAGGAAAGGACCACCGTAAATACCATCTTTCCTTGCAGTCTTTGGCAGAGAGCTATGTTTAGAATTGACTTTGAGACTAAATGCAGCCTTTCTCTGGGAGGTGCTTCTTCCAGGCACGATGACAGCTGTTTATATTTTCTTGTTTTTAGCTTTGTTTTAAACGTATAAAAATTGTCTGCGGTGTTCAAAGGGAGATATCTTTTTATACTCTGAAGTTCAATTTTAAAACTCACCTGGAGGAAGGATAGCCAGAATCTGTTTGCTGAGAGATTTGACTGTTCTGCAACAAATATGGATATTACATAGGTGCATTATTTCAGTCACTTTAGTAGAAGACTTGTGTACGGATCCAATAAACAACCAGCTGTTCTTACCCCAGGGAGATGGCTACAAGTCTGTCAGGATCAAAGATCTTATTTAAATGGAGAAAGTGCTTTCAAAACACTTAGGGTTTCTCCTTTCAGGAATTTCAGTATTTCAGTATATTTCAGTATTGGCATCATTTAAACAACAACAAAAAAACCCCTATCTATATATAGCTTGCATGAGAGTGGTGAGGAAATGAGTATTCAGAATTTGGGAAATATAAAATAAAGCAGATCGGCTCTTATGTTTCTTTGTTATGTTTAACTGCATTGCTCTAAGATTTTTCTTTAATTGAACAAAAATATGCTTTGCAGAAGACATGATGTAGATTGTTTTCTGAATTAAATCCTGTTGAATATCTTATCTAGGTCCAGTGTCTGTCCTAAAATCTTGTGAATTCTCTTCACTCACCTGTAAACACAGAAATAGTATATTTTTGGGCTTATTTTGTGCATTATCATAATATCTCGAAAAGAAGTATTGAGGCAATGAGAATGACTTGTAGTTAGTCTATAAATTCTTTGCATCCGATAGTTGATACATGGTGTAAGTTCAATTCCCTCCCCTCCCCCCCCCTCCCCCCCCAAAAAAAAATG